TTTTATATTATCATTTTTTTAAGAAAAAGAAGAAATTTACCATTTAATTTAAAAATCTAAAAAATTTATATTTTTAAATATATTAATAACAAAGTTATCATCTTTATTTATCTATTATCTTCTCATGAGATTTTCATATTTTATTATTTAAAAATTATCAATTGTAAATTCCATAATTGCCTTCTGCAGGATCCACGTTGGGTTGAGGAGGCAGCAGGAAGTTAGGCTTAAGCAAAAAAATTTGTGTGAGAGATGATGTGATAAGGATGGAGCCCACAAGAAAGGGTGACAAAAAAAAAAGTGATAACCGGTGTGACCGTTGCATTTAACTGTTAATAAACAGCACCGTTAGTTACAGTGGACATAGGGACGACATTGGGGTGTTTCTGCATTGTAGAGGATGACAAGTGTAGTTAATTAATAGTAGAGGGACGACATGAAGCCAATCCATAGTAGAAGGTTTAAAATGCACTATTTTTAATAGTAGAGAGACGATAAATGGCCTTAACCCATTGAATAAATTTAAAGTTTAGGATCAAAGTGCATAGGAACTGGAAGTTGAGGAACTTTAGAGGATTTTGAGGAATAGATTAACCGTCAACGTGAATGTATGGATGAGGCTTGGCCTTTTCCCTGAAGTTGAGAGATTTTCATGAATTTTTTAAAATAGATAGATGAAAATGACTCATTTTATAAAGTTGAGGGATTTTTAGTGTATTAAGCCATTCCTATTTTATCCTAATTGAGTATAAATTTTGTATTTCTTTTCATACTAACCCAATCCTATGCAATATAGATGAAAAAAAGAATTAAAAAGCAAACAAAAGATTCCAATAAAAGAGATTCTTAATACTCCCAAATTCAAACCATTCACGCGTACATTACAGAAAAGGAAAAACAAATGATGGAAAAGGAAAAAGGAAAGTGGTTTTTTTTTTTGAATTTCTTTGGATGACAAATGGATTGGCCATTGAGGCATTTTACAAAATTTTTTACATTCCACACGATTAATCACTATTAATGTGTGAAAAGTAAAATATCTATGATTTTGTATTGATATTTATTCATTTTTAATTAATATATTAATCATTTATAATCTTTTTTGGTTTTCTAAAAGTTAAACTTTAAGAAAAGTATTTACCTTTTATCATCAAAACAATTAAAGTAGGTTGTTAAAAGAACAACACGAACAATGTAAGTGTTCGGTTGTTGAAGATTATTTTTTTCATGAAAAATTGCTTTATAGGAATTGGAAATTAAGGTTAAAGTTAGGGAGGCAAGAACTAATGTATATAAATATAATGAATTTTCTAAGGACATAGGTTAAATTTCATTAAATGTAGTATGTTCAATTAATTTTGTATAAATTTTTATATCAGATTTAGTTAATATAAAATATAAAATTAAAATAAAATATAATATTTATACTCAAA